TTCTTGATATCAGTGATGGTGCGCCAAGCATCGGGATCCTCAGCCTAACAAGCGACAGCTATGTTAGCACGATGAATCTGACCTCCTCCATACAATGCCTGGGCCCTTACTACCGCTCTCAAGAGAGTATCTATCTCGGAAGTCTTCACAGTGCGTGCAATCTTTTTTCCAGAGATATCATAACCAATATGATCATGGTTGTCGAGATACCACTTCAGCGGTACTTTGCCTATACGGTTCCGAGTATACCTGAGATGATGCAGCTCTTCAATATCCTCCACTTTTGGCCCCTTACTCATCATCAGAGTCGTCCGAATCATAATCGTCCTCAGTCTCGGAAGATTCCTCCCCTCTGAAAATGACAAGAGCAAATAAGCAATCCTCTACCACTTAGAGTAATTCGATTCGGCGAGATTCGTCAGCTTTTGAGTCCTCCCCACAGCCTTGATATTACTCCTCATCACCACTGGCATGTGTACTTGCATTTTCAACAATATCGTCTCCAATTTCGAAACCGGGAGTATCCTTAGAGTCTTCCAACTCTTGCAGGGCCGCATCCTCCTCACGAACGGGTTTGGGAGCCTCGGAAGCTTCAGGCAGCACTTGGCGAGTCTTCTTTGCAGAAGGCATGGTGTGGACCACACTGAAAGTGCACTGACTTGTGACTTGTTGCCTACTCAAGACGATAACGATTATATCAAAATGCGCGAATAATTCCAGAATCGGAATTATTTGCATAAACGGCGAGGCTACCGGCTAGTAGTACTAGCCTAGTACAGTACCCTATATACTGGCATGGACCAGGAACTACACTTAAGCCTCCCCCCCGCCACTTGGCGACAACGCTGTTGTATCTTTTGGCGCCCCTATTGGTGGCTTGGATGTCGTACATCGAGTTATCAAAATACGCGAGGATGACACTCTGGTAGTATTGGAGAGTTTCTGTTGATAACATCTCATCATTACGGTGCATACTTTTGGAAGATACACAATGTAAGACATACCTCTCCCTGTCGACGATGTAGTGCCTCGTGATGGTATACTGACAAACACAGGAAGCGGAAGAAGCTGGTCCATCGAAATGATGGGGGTCATCACCCCCAGCCTATTTGTGATCATCATAATACTGCGTAGGTACCGATAGGTGGAGTAACTACTCACTCCCTCGTATGTCTAAGCACGGACATCGTCAGCACCAATTTCTCCTTGGGTCGATCTTCCTCAGCTGTTCACCTGGTACACATCGGGCAGGGCTCGGGTCCGGTCTCGACGGTGATGCTTTGGGCAGTGTTGAAATTTGTGCACATGGTCACCGACATATGTCGGTGAGGAAGCACCAAGAACTTAGGAAGGCTCTCACAAGCAAGGAACCTCTCAGAGATGGGGAGGTGTGCTGCAGTGACTGCGGCCAATTGCGTCATGTTTCGACATGTCAAGTAGTAAATGTTCAAAGTCGTCGAGGAGATTTTTGACACTTTGACATGTCCATTACACGCGGAAGGATGATCTATAGACATGCCTGGCCAGGTGCTATCCATTGGCCTATCGTGGACTTTAGTATCGACAATTTATTGCCGAAATGAGCGTGGGGTATCGCTAGGACACGTCTCTGTCAAACTTGACACGTTCCAACGAAGTCGACACTCAAGTGCCCAAGTTCAGTTGCACCTCACTTTGAGCATTT